TTTTTCTGACATTTACATCAAGGGCCTCCCAGTCTTTGCATGTCGCTACTGGTGGTTTTATGAGTTTTTATTACTTTATCAGGAGCCTTTTATACTCACTAATGAAAACAGCAGGGTTAAGGGTGTTTTGGCACCAAAAGGCCTCCTTCTGAATTCCTTATTATAAGCAGCAAGAATTCAAGAGCATTTTTGTCATTTCAGCATAAGCAGACAAAGACCAGCATAAGGGGTGAACTTATTTTAAATCATGCACTTTGGAGTAACGTCAGGAAGTTAAATCTTCTTTCTAATCTGCCCTGGACATGAGACTGTAATGCTCAAACCCTGCATGCTGCCTGCAGCAGGAACACTGGTAATGAACAGCACTTTGAAAAATTCCCATAGAATTCCGGGCTTGTCCGTCTGCTCCCTGTGCCCGCTCATCAAAGCCCCCCTCTGGTTACATCACACAGTGTGGAGTATGTGAAAGAATGCTCCCGAAACATAGCAGGACACCGGGGGCCCACTATTCCCATCTCGACCATACCCCTAGTGATTTTTTGTTGACATAAATACAGATACAAATAAAATTAGATATGTTGATGTTCACAAAGCGCGACCAAGATGTTACCAACAGACCCTGAGACAATATTCTAAAATAAATAAAGAACTTGGATGAGAGAAAGAGTTTGCATGCTGAAGCCAAGAGTAGGACCTCTCCCACTATCAGCATCAGCTATGAGAGCTTCATTGTTTTGCCCGCTGCAAATAGCCTTGACAAATTGCAGTGAATGCGAAACCTTCTAAATTGGAGGTATCTTACAAAAAAACATGCTGGCATGCCACCAGAGGTGCATTTTCCCAGCAGCCCAATGATCAGCAGCCAGAAATGCTCGACAGCACCCCCGCTGGCCGGTGGTGTTTCCGACAATTATAAAAAAGGAAGTTTAAAGTGCAGATTAAAACTCAAGAATGAACCATTTTAAATGTATCTTACAGTACTCTCTCGTGTGTTACGCCATATGAAGGCCTTTTTTTCGCTCGTTTTCTTAATAACTCAACATTTTCTCAATACCGCCATCCTCCTTTTCCAGCTTCCTCCAGCTGACAGGTGGACAATGCTGCAGAAAAAGAGCTGATGTTCACTGGTTTTCACTGCGTACAATCACCAGTTGATTTCACATCATGAAGATAAAAATAAGAAAACACAAGAAAAGAGGGTATATGAATGATTTTAAGAAGTGGCTTAAATAATAAGAGAGTGATCATGTAGAGGCTGTTGTAGCAGATTAAGATTGTTAAACAGCTCCATCATGTGTTAGTCTGTGCTTATTGCTGTATGGGACGAAGCTCTTACTGCAACTTATGCTGTTTTATTAAAGTACCTGATTTTTTTTCTATTTTCTGTATTTAACACGAGAACAAAACCTAAAACTAGCATTCACAAAATTTTCAAAAAAATAAAAGGATAGACACGCATCTCTGTACCCAAGTTATTTATTTGAAATTCTTCTAAAAATATATAAATAGAAAATGCTGCCCGTATGGTAGTTGACTGTGTAATAGTAAAATAATTAAATAGTGATAGTAATGACATAAACATGATGAATCGCATCAAAAGATGCTGTCATAGATCATGAAACAGATCTGCCGTACTGAGTCTTCAAAATGGAAAACATGCAAATAAATTAAAAAGCAGTTCTATATATAATAACCGAACATAATTCATTCTGAACCATGTGTACTAGCACACAGATCCAGTACAGTGTTTTTAGCTAATTGTATTTATAACATAACCGTTCATTTCTATTGATGCGTGGCTGCGGTCATTCGTAAACATTTGCTTCTGTACGGTGAGGCTGTGGCAGTCGATGTGTCTGAACTCGGCTGCAAAAAGGCCAAAGAGGCAGAAGAACGACATCACCAGAATCCATTCACACGCAGCAGCTCCAGAGGAAAAGCCTGTGATGTGGAGAATGGACACTGAAGGAGAGAAGAGCAGTTAAGGAGAACGATGCTGAACAACATCAGAGTAAATTCAATAGTAAGCCTAACACTAGTGTTGCTGCTTCATTGATGCTTTCAGACACTATAGTGTTTATTCTCAGCCCAAACACTGTCTGTGTATGATTCTGTATAGTCACAGCAGTGAGAGGGTTAATTTAAAATGCATGTGAGAAATAGCTCTTAACACACAGTACAGTTCAATATGAGCTCAATGAGAATTCAGTCATTTAAAAAAGTTCAAAGAAATGGAAAAGCACAGTCACAGCAAATACTGCATGTATCAGTATTTTTTCATGAATCTACAGCAGTCCTCAACACTTATTGCAATGCACTAGAAATATAGTGTTAAAACAAACGTATCAACACTCACTGGCCACTCTATTAGGTACACCTTGCAAGTACTGGGTTGGACCAATTTTATTTGCTTAAATCGTATTCATAGTACAGATTTCCATATTAACGTGACAGCATCACACAGTGGCTGCAGATTTGTCGTTTGCACATCCATGATGTCCCTTTCCTCAACATGCAGTGGTGCTTTATTTGATTGAGATCTGGTGATTGTTCATGTGTTTTGACAGAATTGGTTGAACAAACCAATTTTTGATGATTTGAGCTTCGTGACATGGCACTGGTAGGATAACATGAAAATTAGTACGCTGTGGTTAAAAAGGGTAGACTGTAGGATTCAAATGATGGTCATTTGATACTAATGGGCCCAAAGTGTAGCAACAGAAATCATTACATCACCAGCAGCCTGAACCTTTGATACAAGGAAGAATCGGGCCACGCTGATGTTATTTGTGCAAATTTCTGACCCTACCATTTGAATGGAAACAGAAATTGAGACGAGACGTTTTTTTCAGTCTTCTGTTATCTGTCTTTGGTGAGCCATGTGAATCATACCCTCAGTTTCCTGTTCTTAGCAGATCAGCGGTTCCAAAATACTCAGACAAGCATGTTTGGCGCCAACAACAATTTAATGTTCAAAGACATTTAAATCACCTTTCTTCCCCTTTCTGATGCTCAGTTTGAACTTTACAGGTTGTCTTTACCGTGTCTTCTAAATACATTAAGTGGCAACCGTGTGGTTGGACAACTGGATAGTTGCATTAACAATAAGTTAAAAAAAAAAAACTAAAGAAAAATATTAATTTAATAGATATATTTTGAAGTTAGGTGATATAGAAATAGGTAGCACATTCTGGACACATTCTTTAAAATTTTAATAACTGAAAATGTTATTAAAATGTAAAAAAATAATAATAATAATAATAATAAATACAAATTTAAAAATTCTCCACAACTGAATATTCTTACTATGGGCAAAAGCATTATCTTGGATTTGATATTTGCATGAAGCAGTTTGAAGACAGGAAGGATACTAACAATAACCGTGACGGTACAGATGATGCAGAAGGTCGCCCTGACAGGCCCCACCCACCATCGGTCTTGCGATGGTTGAGCCCGATAAGTTAGATACAGCTGTACCCAGAAGTAGGCCAGGCCAAGGAAGAAAGCCAGGACTGCTCCCACAGTGTGAATAATCATTAAAACTGATTGCTACATAGGACAAGCAGAGGGGAGTGGAGAGTTTGATTAGCATACAGTCATCTTCATGTTATTTTTCACGGATAAAGTTTTAATCTTTAACAGAGTAAAACAAGTTCACAAGATAAAAGTGCTACCTGGAAGTTCCCGGTGACGGAGATCGATATGGAGGAGGTGAATCCTAAAACAATGCTGGCAATGTTGGCTTTTCCGTGATCACCATAGTCTCTGACCTGCTGGAAACGGATCGCCACGACCCACAGGGCTGAGAAACACGGACAGAAGGTGGTTACGAAACGAGCGAAAAATGTCAAAAGCTGCAGAGAATCAAAGTGAAACTACAGCTCTGACAAATGGCAGCTGTTGTTGAATTTAAATGAACTAATTAGGGAAATCAGATAGCAAGCACTCTTCCTCTATATTGGGATATTTATTTGAATAATTTTTACCTAAAAAGCAGCAGATGTTGCAGACCTGGGAGAAGAGACAGCTCTGTGGGTTGTAAGTGCCACACTGGCTAGCAGCAGAAAGACAAATTGGTGACTCATGAGGTTCCTTTAAGGCTGTGAACATGATGACAGCAGCCTGCCAGTTCACTATTATTTCAGTTTAACTCCTTTATTCTTTACTCGGCTCTCGGAACAGAAAGGATTTACACCGACCTGATGTACGGGATTCCCTCTGTTAGGTTGACTGATCCATTTGTTACAGCTACTGCAAATCTGATGGAAAGAAATAAGGCTGTTGGTGACTGCTGAATTTTTGTGCCTTTGCAAGGGTATGATTAAACATTTTTTTATATACATATATAACTGTTTGAGAAGCCAAGCATACTTATTATTGCAGATTCCCAAACTTGAGTAAAACTGCACATCAGCTTGTGACCATGCCAAGCTCTTGCACAGTCTTCATTTTGATGTCATCCACAAATCTGATAAGTTTAGTCATTTTCCCTTACAGTTGTCATGGTATCATGTTAAACTCAGTGCACACACAGACAGATGTGTAAACACCTGAAAACCATGCAGACGGCTTCTACAAACATTAGTGAGAGAATTTAATATAACATGAGGACATGAGGACATGTTCTCTGGAGATACGAATCACACTTCTCCGTCTGGCAATCTGATGGACAAGTCTGGGTTTGGCAGATGCCAGCAGAACGACTGTGACTGCAATGTGCCAGGTGCAAAGTTTGGTGGAGGGGGGATTATGGCATAGTTATTCAGGAGTTGGTCTCAGGCCCTTAGTTCCATTGAAGGAAACTCATAATGCATCAGCATACCAGGACCTTTTGGACAATTTCATGGTCCCAACTTTGTGTAAACAGTTTGGGGATGGTCCCTTCCTGTTCCAACATGACTGCACACCAGTGGACGAAGCATAGTCCATAAAGACATGGGTGAGCGAGTTTGCTGTGGAAGAACATGACTGGCCTGACAGGAGTCCTGACCTCAACCCAACAGAACACCTTTGGGATGAATTAGATCAGAGACTGCAAGCCAGGGCTTCTCGTCCAACATCAGTGTCTGACCTCACAAATGTGCTTCTAGAAAAATGGTCAAAAATTCACATAAACATGGAGAGATTTCCCGGAGTGTTGAAGCTGTTATAGCTGCAAAGGGTGGGCCAACATCATATTAAAACCTATGGATTAAAAATGGGATATCAGTCAAGTTCATATGAATGTGAAGCTAAACGTGTAAATACTTTTAGCAATATAATTTATATTAGCTAAACTGTTGCAGTTAGTGTGTGTTTATACATTAGCTAAAGCTAATGTATAATGCATCTATACCATGAAGACCCTAGGCAGTTCTGAGAGTAAAAGTTGGTCCAACATGGTGGTAACCAACTAAATAACTAACTGAGGCACCTATCCTAAGACAAATATGTACTTTAAACTGAAGACAAGCCTTATAGATAACCTACACTGCATGTTTTATGTCTTTATCAGTTTGCTTGCCCACAGCTTTTCACAGAAGCATGACTGAGCTCAACCTCAAGGCACCAATAGTGGCATTTATTGACACCAACACAACACATGGGTTGTGAATACGTCCACATTTGCTGTACTGATTTACACAGACAAGAGGTCTGAATAAAGACCACTGCCCATGTGTTTGGGTTTGAGAAATAAGGTAAAACATTTTATGAGAAGTGAGTTAAGAAAGGAGATGAAACACTCACACAGTCCAAATGCCCGCAGTGCCAAAGAAAGCCAAGCATACGGGGAGCAATGCCCACAGATGCATGTTGCTATAGAGCATGTGGAGATAGATACAACAAAATCAAAGCACCCTTCTCTACAAAGCAAAGTTTGAACTGTAAAAAAGAAACCTATTAAAGAATATATCGACTACAGCAGAAGACGTGGCTAAAAGTAACAGTTTTACAACACAAAAACATTAAGTTAGAGTAACAATGAGTGAAAGAGGAGGCATTTGTACTCACTCTGTGATGAGGGATGACTGATTGCAGGTTGAATGGTAGCTCTCTGTTAGCTTTTAAATAGTAACTCAGTAACTTCACCATTCCCCTAATGACCCTAGGACATGACATATTGGACGCTATTCCATGACATTGCACAATCAAAATCATGACTCAACTTTCTCCAACCACATTCAGCAAATACGATCACACTGGTTATGGAGAATATGTGATGTGT